CTTAAATTAAAAAAAAAAAAAATTAAAAAAATAAAACATTTATTAGTAAACAAAGGTCTTTGAACGATTTCCACGGGCCACGGCCCTTATCGTGGGTTCAATTTTATCAAGAGGATCAAAACGGCCGAAAACCTAATGAAATTAGGTTAGCTTATCTCTGGCACACAAAGGGCTCAAGTATGGATTTTTCTTATCACAACGTGTTTTATGACCAATACAGTAATATTTTAATATGACAAAAGTATTCTAATTTTAATAATATAATTCTTTTATAAACGACGCTTAAATAAACCACTTCAACCCTCTCATCTTTTTGAAATCGGTTAATTAATATTACACTTTTCTGAATGTACTAACACCTTCTAAGATTATAAATCGGAAAGTGAGTTTGTTTGTTTGTTTGTTCCAATTTCACGCCGTAACTACAAAACCGATGGCTTTGAATTTTTGCAGACGTAAAGTTAAATGTCTGGATTAAGTAATAGGGTACTTTTTATCCCGGAATAATTTGACATTCCCGAGGGAAAACAAAAGTATTGGTATAGATGGTGCTGTATGCATTGGTGTACGTCACATAGGCTACTTTTTATCCTTTTGTGATGCGAGCGAAGCCGCGGGTAAAAGCTAGTAAGAAATATTTCTCTGAAAATCGTATCAAAATCGGTTCAGTTAATCGCGAGATATTCATACATATACATACACAGGTCAAACTATAGACCACCCTTTTTTTCAAGTCGGTTAGTAAAATAATTCAAATAATGTGTTCAAGTGTGGGAGAGCCATGCTTCGGCACGAATGGGCCGGCTCGACTGGAGTGATACCACGGCCTCACAGAAAACCGACGTGAAGCAACGCTTGCGTTGTGTTTCGTCGTGTGAGTGAGGTCACCGGAGGCCCAATTGGGGGGTAATTGGGCCTCCGGTCCTCCGTTCCCCAAACTCCCCAATTCCTGAATCCCCAACGATCCTCAAACTCCTAATCCCCAAAAAGCCGGTAACGCACTTGTAACGCCTCTGGTGTTCCAGGTGTCCATGGGGGACACCGATTGCTTACCATCAGGTGATCCGTCTGCTCGTATGCCTGCTATTCCATAAAAAAAATACAATTAAAAAACGTTACCACACAAGGATTTTCTCCTGTGTCATGCGTGCGTTTACAAACATACAAGTTCACATACACAACACACCCGTTGCACACAAAGAGTTGCTCCGTGCGGAAATCGAACCCGCTACACGTTGTACGGCCGGTTGCCTAGTCAACGCACCAACCGTGCAGTCAAATGTCTAAGTCTAAAAAAGTTATACAGATTTTATAGTCGGAACGGAGAAATAATTTACTGGATTTTGATTTTTTTTATGGATCATGGTGATTGTAACTGTACACAGTTCATGACAAAAATACCTTTCACGATTCTTAAAATCCTACTAATGTTATAAATATATTTAAGTATATTGTATATTTGTTTGATTATGGTCTAGAATAAAACGTAATATACTTTTTACACCACTGGACCGCGGGCGAAGCCGCAGGCAGAAGCTAGACCAACATATAGTCACTAAACTGTTTTACCTTGAACGAGAGAAATGACATTGAAAGTATACAATTTGTCAATACGAGCAACACAAAAGGACGAGTTCCAATTTCCTGTTAGTTCGAAAATTCACTTCTATTTATAGAATAGGTACAGAACGCTTTCACTGAAGCTGCCGTGCTTCGTTGGCTGAGTGGTCGCAAGTGCGACTGCCGGATAAGGTCTTGGGTTCGATTCAGGAATCGGTCAGACAAAATATTACTGGGTTAAAAAAAACTCATTAGTAGCCGGTAGTCTGGAATTTTCTTTATTTACTCTGACGGTCACGTGTATATAATATATTTTTCTCTTTTTTTCAGATCGGGAATGAAAAAAGACAAGGCAAAAAAATAAGTCTCACAATGTATTTCGTAAATAAAATTACGATACTCCTTGTTGGCATTACTCTTATTGCTAAAATAGAGACAATTGGCGCAGACAAATACGATGAAGAATCGAATATAGATCTCAAATATAATAAAAATGAAAAACGACTCAAAAGATCAGAGAACGCAGTGGACAACATGACAACAACAGAAGTAACACCACTAGAGAATGTAACAGAAGAATGCATAGGACAAAAGGAATTTTGTAACTTATCTCGAGAGGAATACGTCACAATGTTGAATGAATATATTTATCCGCATACGTACGAATGGGTTTTGATTGGCACGCACACTCTGGTATTTATCACGGGATTGGTGGGAAATGCTTTAGTGTGTGTTGCGGTGTATAGAAATCACAGTATGAGAACTGTGACGAACTATTTTATTGTAAATCTGGCTGTGGCGGATTTCATGGTAATCCTCTTTTGTTTGCCTGCCACCGTTCTATGGGATGTTACTGAGACCTGGTTCCTGGGAGATGTGCTGTGCAAAATGCTGCTGTATTTCCAGGTAAGAGGAATCAAATTTATTTTTTGAGTATTTAAGAAATATTTTCAAACTTTTCGATTATTTAACGAAACGATAAATACGTTAAATGTAGTATGCTTGAAATCGATGATATCTATATATATAAAAGAAAGTCGTGTTAGTTACACTATTTATAACTCAAGAACGACTAAATCGATTTGGATGAAAATTGGCAGGGAGGTAGCTTAGAACCAGGAGACGGACATAGGATACTTTTTTACCAATAGTAGGGGAGCCCATGAAGGGATTTCGGTAGTTACTCGAGCGCGTCAGATTAACATATGGGGAAAACCTAGTGTCATGTTGAATATACCCAACATATATCCGATCTGATCAGAAGGGGGGGACTGAAAATTAAAAAAAAAGTCTGACTAAATAAAGTCAGTTTCGTCAGATTAAGGGAAGGTAGGTCAATACCGTGCTAAAGGAAGTGCGTTTAAAAAATCTGCCCATTCCAACTTGATTTGCAAGAGTGGGGGGATTTTGAAGGGTTCTCGTTTGTACTCTCCAGAACATTCAACCCCACCATGCAAACCGGCAGATTAAGAGTTTTTTATTATTAAATACACATGGAGCATGTACATTATCAATATCTGACACGCTTGACCACTAGAACAAAAGTTACGCTTAACAATTTCAAAGATCTGTAGATTTCCCCTTCCCCCACTGGTGGAAGAAATTGTCACTAAACCATTTCTTCTTTCTATCAGCATATCTTCAAAATCCAGTAGGTCCCAAGGACGCTCAAGTAAATCCCAATTTAGCATCGTGGGCTCCCCTACTACAATACTTTTTTTTACTTTTTACCGAAAATAACGAACAGAGGGAAAATGGGATTGCGCGTACGAAGTCGCGGGCAGAAGCTAGTCTATATATAGAGGTATAAAAGAAAGTCGTGTTAGTTACACCACTTATAACTCAAGAACGGCAGAATAGATTTGGCTGAAAATTGGTAGGGAGGTAGCTTAGAGCTAGGAGACCGACATAGGATACTTTTTAAATACTTTTTTTTTAACTTTTTACCGAAAATCACGAACGGGGACGGGAAAAAATGGGATTACGCGTACGAAGTCCCGGGCAGAAGCTAGTTTCTGATAAAATGCAAACACTTGACCATTGCAAATTTGACCCAGCTTAAACTGCTTTTATAGTGACAGTTAAAGTAAACGTAGTTCGAAAGTTGGGGGATGGACAGCCTAAAACAATAAAATTGATCCACACAGGTTGTCTTAGTTGACTTTACTAGTAAGCTACTAAAATCTTATCACGAATCTTAGTAGCCACGTCAGCGAAACTGCCTATTGCCATATACCGGGCACAATTCCAGACTCCGTGCTACTACTGAGAATATTTAAAAATACTCATTAATACTTTGCCCGACCCATTAATACTTTGCACTTACGACCACTCGGCCAACGAGGCAGTCAAATTTAAATTTAAATTCATTGTATTCATTTTTATTTTATTTATTCAGATAACTGAACCATCAAAATGACAGTAAAGGAAGTATTACCATGTATGAAACACAGGTTCAACCTAGTTCAGGCAAATAAGCTACTGAGCTCTAATCAAATCGTTAAGATACTGTTCATGTAAATATGTCCTTTTTTATAAAATAAACCATTACTTATTATTAATTTAAATAAACAATCATTTATATTTAACTAGCTTCTGCATGCGACTTCGTACGCGCAATCCCGATATTTCCCGTAGCCGTTCTTGATTTTCGGTTAAAAGTAAAAAAAAAATATTGGGTAAAAAGTATCCTATGTCCGTCTCCTGGTTCTAAGCTACATCCCCACCAATTTTCATCCAAATCGATATAGTCGTTCTTGAGTTATAAATAGTGTAACTAACACGACTTTCTTTTATATATATAGAAGATTATTTATTTATGTAGTAATAAACAAGGACTTAGTCCGCTGCACTAATTTCCACATTACCGATGAGTGATGCGGCCTTTTGGGAGCGAATCCATCGGTGTGAGCATCAGCAAATATTGCTGACGCACTACAGAAACGTGGAAGCCGCAACAGTGCCCTGTGTACCCACATTATTATCTAAGTATTATAACTTTATACGACAAAATAAAAAAATACGTATCCAATATTTCCTCGTCTTCCATATCATTCCCTGTCAACTACGCTATTAGTAGAAACTAGAAATAGAAGCTCTAATTCAATAGATCAAAGTTCATGACACTCATCAGACAGAGAGATTTTTGTTTTTTATCTTAGATCATATTTACGAAAAATACTCGAAAATGGAGACAAAAAAATAGAGATAAAAATTGTATATGTATAGGTACTACAATCAAGCACCAATGTGTTTGACATTGTACCGGTACAATTCTAGTAATAATTATTGAGAATCCAATATTTTTCGGTCTTTTCAGGACTTTGGAATGAACGCTCTCGACCAATTAGACATTCTAGGCCTTTAACGCTCTAACTTTTCCGATGGTCAAACGGTAACAATTGCGATTGCCGAGTAAGGCGTTTCAAGTTTGATTCACGAGTTTTCTGCAATTTTCATAAATATCTTAATTATAGCACGGAACCCAGAAAGTTATCCAGTTTATAAAGGCAATAGGTTCACCAATCAATACATAGTATAAAACAAAGTCGCTTTCGCTGTATGTCCGTATGTATGCTTAGATCTTTAAAACTACGCAACGGATTTTGATGCGGTTTTTTTAATAGATAGAGTGATTCTTAAGGAAGGTTTGTATGTACATATTGCAGTTCGAAGCCGGGGCGGGTCGCTAGTAAAAAATAAATGAATCCTCCCGATTGATTTTGAATAGGTGGCAAATCTAACTAAACTCTTTGACTAAGTTAGAGATTAGGCGTAGGACGACGCCTTTACGTGCTCTCCGAGGCACAGGGTATGTGTGATGTATCCAACATCGGCAAACTTCCTGACTCCAGGCTAGTCAATTTACTCAGAAAATTACATTATCACATTTTTGTTCGATGCGGGAATCGAACCCGCGATGCATTGCACAGCAGCCGGTCACCGACCACTATGCCAACCATGCAGTCTTAGATTCACACAAGGGACTCCTATCTACTAAAAAGTGGGTCCACCGCTGCCTATCTTTTGCAGCATAAAAGCAAGCCTTTCAACGGCTTTCGGCAAGATAATCTTAACTCTGTTAGACTAATTCAGTATTGAATAAGTTATTTCAAAGAGCGTTAGTCGAAATGTTCCGTAATCTTAACAAATCCACTTGAAACTTAACTTAGCACTTTGCAAATCCATTTCGGAATACATTTTTACTGTTCTACATCAAATTGTAATATATTTGTATAAAATAATTGGGCCTCCGGTAATCTCACTTACATGACGAAACAACGCAAGCCAATGCTAACACAATTGTTACGTCGGTTTTCTGTGAGGCCGTGGTGTTACTCCGGTCGAGCCGGCCCATTCGTGCCGAAGCATGGCTCTTCCTCACCTAAATATATTGTTGTACGTATCTAATTGTTTGCTACACCATCCCATCAAAAACTATACGTATAACTAAATTCTCATTTCTTTCGCCACACCAAATGTTTGGAAAACCACACATAAAAGTAACGTTTTTCTTGTAAATCTACCTTGTACTATGTTTCAATAAATTATGAAGGATTTTTATTGCTTTTAAATAGTTTTATTACTGAGAACCAATGTAATTTGAATTTCAATAGAAAATTATCTTAATACGTAGTATCAGGTGTTATACGTATATCATATTGATATGTAGTCCAACACTATTGTTATATTATCATGTTCTTATTACTCTACACTTGATTGTGATGAATAATTTAATTTGATTAATAAATAGGGTATTCGTAGCGTAGCGCGTTGCAACCCACGTAGCAACAGTGTAGCAAAACGCGTAGTAAATAAGTAGCGAGGAGTATAATTCGTTTTGTGTTCAACAGATGTAGCTAATGTGGGGTTTGGTCCTGTTTATCCAATAACTGTACGTCTCAAAAATAATATGTCCAATGGTTTGACATAGTTTAAAGCGAATTTGTATTTAGGTTAGAGACCTTAGTTCTCGTAGTCCTTCCACGGCGTAGCACACTCGTAGCCAATGTGTAGACGCTTGTAGCAATTATCTCGTTGATCGATTTGTTACATGAGTGACATATAAACCCCAAGCTCTGAGTTTAATCCCGAGTTCGGTAATAAAGTATTAAAATTATCAATTTATGGTGGATATTTCTAATCTATCCAATCTATAGAAATGTTTACCAAAGACATAATTATTATTATTTTGTATGGAATAAGAACCTGTCGGCAACCCTCTACAAATTTTGAGAATACTCAGGAAAATAATAAAATACGTACCCATTTCTGAAATCTAATTTTATGTCCATTAGTGGAAATTTAACATTTAATTTATCAAAAAAAATTATGCTGTCAGCAACATGAATGAAATTACCATACTAAGAATAGATTTTCCTTGTAATTTCTATTATGGGAGGCCTAATGAGACATATTATTTGTTATTCTCTTTCCCGTAGCAAAGTAAACACCGAATAAGGTTTTAACTTAAAACAATTGAATATCTTAAAATATTTTTAGAGAGAATTTTAGTTAATTGGTTGGTTGGTTGTTAAGATTTAAATGGTTTTTTTACGGTGGTAGAACAACTAACACAAGTTGAGTGAATATTATTATCAGAAACTGAATCAATTAGTACAAACTTTCCAGTCTCCAGGTTGAAGAGTAAGATTAACTAAAAATTGCGGGTTACTCACGTGAAAGTACTGAGAACTACTAGTTTTGAACCACAAAGAAGTTCTTCGTTCTACCTACCTCCTAGGCTAGTAGGCTGCGCGACATCGCCGCGACCGCGCACCCTGCTCATGACGAAGAACCCCGGACCTAGGAAACGCGGACGAAATCGCTGGCAGAAGCTAGTATGTCATAATTATTATCTCTCTGGTATACAAATCGACAATGGAGATTTTTAAATTATATTTAAA